TTGATAGTCAGAATGGTTCATAAATCCTTCCAAAGGGGAGAACCCTCCATTCATGATAAGTTCCAAATCACATAGTTGACGGTCTGTCAACACGATGGAAGGTAAATTTTCGGATTCAAGAAGTAATTCATCATGTTTGTAAGCATCTCGAAGATGTAAATCTTTAAGAACACCACCATGAGGAGAATTGGCCATTTGAAAAAATTTTTAGGATTTATTATTAATGAAATTATTGAATTTACTTTTTAGAAAAATGACGAAAAAAAAAAGTACCGGATTGACCAGGGCCTATAAATAAATAAAGGAATAATGATAATTACGGATTAATAATCATCGAGGTTATATCATAACTAATTATAAACGGATGCGTAAATAAATTTTGAAATAATAATGACTTTCACGCGCTCTTTACGTCTATCATCTTCACTTAAAAAATGACGAAATCGTAGATGGATAGGCTTATAGTTTTGGTTTTAGGCATCAAGTTTACATTGTTGTCCCACGACAATAATAATTTTCTTGCAGATTTGTTTATTATTCGTCATTTATATTATACGCTATCGCAATTTTCCGCATTCTATAATTTCTAAAGTATTCAAAAAATTTTTTTACCAAATTTGCTTAGAATGATCTTTTATTCTATATTTTATTATTGAAAAAAAAAACGAATCACGTCATTCTGGTGATCAAAAAAATTGTTGCATTTGATTAGTAAGCTTAAAGATTAGATCTGCATTCCTATCTACAAGTGAACTAGGTCTACGAAAGCGACCTAATGAATCAAACGAACAATGTGATATTTATTGTTTTTAACAGACCAAATAACCAATATCGGTCACATATAATTTCAACGGAACCATTTTTGATTACATCAGTAACCCATGGGATGACTTTTTTTTTTGGTCGAACTCAATCTTTGACCAGAGACTCAGCCTGCTCATATATTTATTATAGTAATATAGATGGTCAAATAAGCCGATTAACATCCTCCAAAAAGGAATTTAACAAAGTGTTACGTAAATGGGATGAATATGAATATTGGTATCGTTTTTCTATTTGTACTATATACTGTTTCGTCTCATGTTGGTCCCCCACAGTTAATAAAAAAAAAATGTGATACAATCAACAGTAAAAATGGCGCAATTTCGACTTATCATGTGACGTTAATCTCATTTTGTTAATGATCGTTGCAATAGTTTCCGCATTTTGTTTTTTTTTTTTAAATCTTAAAGGTGAGGCCATGCCTCTAACTTTATCCGCATTTTGTATAATTGTGTTAAATTGCATATTGTATATTGAATCGGGAACCGATATAAGTCCGGAGCTTAAATAAAAAATTAATTACTCTAAAGTGTATAAATAAAATTGTTCTTGTATTGCAAGGTAACGATTAAAAAAGTGTAACGATACATAAGCATTAATAAGCATGTGAGTAGTAGCCAATCAGGTAAGCGGAAGCGAACAGACAGACTCACGTGACACTATCGATCAACAGCGTTGTAAAAACAGTGTGTCCTCCGCTTCGCTCCGGACAATTATTATATCCTGGGTTGGTTAAAATTAGTATCAGTATGCTAAATTTATGTATGAGATCCGTTTAACTTTAGACGGCTTAAACAAGGGTGACCAATAGTCGAAGAGTTTCGGTCAAATTGGTATCCGATTTGTTAATTAAATAGGTCATACGAATGTAATGAATTTTTAAAAATGTAGTTTTTGTGTCAAATCTCCTTTTCAAATATTTTATAACCAAAAAAAAAAAACTTTCCCATATTTGCGCGAAATAATGCCCCAGGACGTTATTTCGAAACACAATTTCTAGAAATAAGAATTAAAATTTTAGAAAATAAAATTATTATTTGTATATAAAATTATTTTATTCTTGGTTTTTGGAAATTGTGTCTCAAAATAACGCCCCAGGGCACAGATACGTTATATAACCTAATAATAACCAATATATATGTATTTAGAGATGTTCTATCTAAGTTGAAAAATTTTTAATTAATTTTGTAAATCCTTGTATTTTATTTATTAAAAAAAAATTAAAATAATAATAAATAATCAATAATATTTTTATAAATAAAA